GTGACTGGCCGGAAGCATCTTGAATTTATGTGTGTTCGTATATTGTGCTAAGGGGCCGAAAACGACGTGTGCTCTGCAGGAAAAAATCTGGGACACTAACCATTTCTTGCTCAAATATATGTTCCAAATATATAGGTTCATCACCAGACGGCGAAACGATATACTATAGAGAACGCAACCGTGAGGGTAAGCTTTCTTCCACTGATAAAGACAAACGATGGAATTTGAGATATGTTCGTTCGCGGTATCAACATTCTATGCGGTAGGGCACAACGAGTAAACACGTAAATTGAAAACCAAAATGCCATGTGTGCTTCACAAGCGGGGATAAAGTTACATTAAAAGTGATTTTGTAACACCGTTTTTTAGTTGTTACGGGCTGACGTTTGATAGCAACCAGAGAATAGGTATTATACAAATTACTAATGAGAGCATTAGTGTTCAGATTAGGTAAGTTAAAGCTATGGTGTTCTTTTACATATTAGATAGGTTCAGCTCGCCTTTAATTTCTCTTACGACACGTGGATTGTCATGATGTTTCAGGCCGTTTATAAAAGTCAACCCTTGCTGATTCATTGACTTTTAGCACTATGTGCTGTTGATTCGCTAAATCGTTTAGTCCCTTGAACGAAGACTACAACCTTTAATCTTGTTGACGCTTAGGTTTTAATACTATTGTAGCGCTAAATTGGCCGTTTAGCAGCTAGCCGTCCTCTGGCTAGTAGTTTTACCATCTGCGCTACAGATTTTGTTGTACGAATTGCAAATTTTATTAAGTACCTTGAGCGTGTTTTTTCAATTGTAATACTGGGGCGTTACGGTAATGATACGCACAACCGTCCCCGTTTAATGATGAGAAATTGGTATAAGAAAAGAAATAGGAAGTGCTGACCTTTGTGAGTGTTTCTTAATAACCACACGCGGAAGCACTTCATGTGACTTGACCTGCCTTTAACTAGCGTGTAGTGTTCCTTATGGCTCGTGTAACAGAAAAACTTCTAACCAGGGAAGAAGAAAGCACTTGTCCTAGAATAAAGTACATAGCTGTACGCTCCCAAAACCTTACTTAAACCGTACGTGCAGAGGAAGCGAAGGATCTGGTCTCGGGTTCCTTAATATGATAGTAACACGTTAATTATATTATAGTTAAGCCTTATTTATTAAACTTTTGTTTACTTTGCTATATTAAACTTAATCGTTCAAGGTAGAAACTCACGCATCAACTATCATCCGCGTCTAGCAGCAATATGTAATTTATTTGGTTGGTCTGGAGGCCTTTATTTTTTAGAGTGTGAAGCGGTGCTAAATAGCATTTTCAAAGGCAATATCGAGTCAAGAATGACTTGCAAGAATACTGTGATAAAAGATAATCACTTAGGATATTATTTCCGTTGACGCAAAATTCGTGCTAATGACATATTACAGGGCCACATCGTTACATCCTCAGTGTTGTGTTGAGAATTCTCAAACGATGGAGTACGGATTGAAGTCAATTGCCTTCATTGCTTGGTAGGGCGATTTGCATACCTTGTGTAGCAGTTACGCTATCTTTACATCCGATGAAGGTGCATTCACTTTCCCGGCGCGTTTGTTCGGTGCATGATGCTTCGTAAGTTCATGTACACAAAAGCTTGTACGGGTTTCATGCTTGCTTGACTGACTACAACGGTTAATTGATAGTAAAATTCAAAAGCAGCTTTAATGTTTAGTTGCGTGGTGATCAAGCGCTCATTTCTTACATAACAGTGCCGTCTTCACATAATATTAGAGCTTTAATCGAGCGCCCGCTTATTATTAATATCTGAAGTGGATGAGAATGTGATATCAAAGAGACAACGATGCTGCTTGGTAGGTAAACAAGTTAGTGAAGTTTCGTGTAAGGAGTCATGCAGAAAAGTAACAGCTAGAACTTATATTGCCATAAGCGTTGGTGGTTTCGGTTGCATCACGTCTTTCTGGAACATTATGCTTGCATCAAAAAATTGCTTTGAAAAATATTTGTCGATTGGGACAAAATTTAAACCGCAAAACTCTGTCAAACATACCTTCAGAATTTGCTACAAGGATGCACGACCGAGGTTGCAAGTGAAAGTTATGAACTGGGTGCTTTGAAAAGAGATAGAAGCTTCGACCAACAATTCGACAGCCGATAATATAATCTAAGACGTATGTAAACAACTCGAGTTTAATCGGCGATGTCAATGTCGAACGACATAGGATGTCACGTACCGTATCCACCGCAGACCTTAGATTAGTACAAAATGCTGTTCGATCTTGCGTCGATCTTGTATACTTACCAACACGGCCCCATCGAGGGCGGCCGTCCAATCTTAGGTTTGCGTTGTCGGAGTAATGAAGCGTAAAGGATTTGCTCTGCCAGATGTGGTGATCCTCAGACTTGCGACTAATGCGGCCCATGGAACTCATAATTTTATTACCAAGTGACACCACGTGACAAAAAGCTGTCGCTAGCCGCAATTCCATAAATACTATATTTCAAAATAGGCCCATCGTAGAGTGTTCATTTGACAAGAAGACATGGGTCGCAAATGGTGTTTCTGTCTGTAACTTTTTGCCAGGTCTTAAGCGAGCGGCCGATCATACAACAAGTATCAAGGCTTGAGTCAGCTGTAAGACCAAGTAACACGATATGTTAGTTGCCGGGAACACTTTGAGCGAAGTGTTCGTTGGCTGTAAATGGGTGTGCCGATCTGTATCGGTTCGCAAGCGTGGAACGGGCGGTGTTCATCTCAATTGAGGATGATATGTTGTGCGTTGGTTTGCTCCCTTCCGTGCGGTAGCCAGTGCCGTCGCAAGAAGGAGTTTCTTTAAATCGTCTACTCACATAGAAAAAAGAGATTCTCACAGTCTATCACACAGTGTCAATTATGTACATGATGTCTGGGTGGGTCCTAAGTCAGGGTTCAGGATGCTAGCGTACCTATTAAAGACTTGCAAGGTTGGGCCCACCTATACTCACGTGAACCTCAAAGACGCACTTCAGGCCTAATCCATGCGCACACTGTTACTAGAATTGTGGGCGCTAGTGTCGACAGTACCGCTCGCCATTGCGCAAAGTATACATATGCAAAAAGCTCGAGGCCAGGGTAGCAAGCATTGGTGTGAACGACCCGATGAGTGTACGTACCTCATCGCAACAAGCGATGTTCTCTTTGCACATGATCGTTCCCTACGTACCATCGTGCAAGTACAACAGAGGCAACGGCCGCGAGTGCGGCCGGCCAACCCCAATTGCGCGTGTGCGCAGGATATCTGAAAATGCTACCGTTTTGTCGGGGACCGCCCAGTATAGTTGGTGTTTCCATCAGCGACCGGTTGCGCGATCCCACGGATGGGGAGCGTCGAGGCAATGACGCATCGGTAGGAAGACGCGACAGGGAAGATACGCGTATGTACAACTGGACTGCTTCATTCTCGTGGCGCTGTTGCTAGTTGTGGTGGCCCCATTGATGCGGTTGCAACATAGTTCAAGCACACTTCGTCTGGTTCTGGTTGGCGATAGTGATGATGGCTTATCCAACAGCTGTGCAAACAGTACCATCCAATCGTCTGCACTCGTTTAGGATTGCGTGCCAGCCGACAATTCTTGTCGGTCTAGCCTTTGCGAAGCGTTACTAAGTTCCTCTTATGGCGTAGGCGTCGATGAAATGCCTATCAAGTTCTTGGTCATGCATTCGTCGGACAAATACTAATGTTGCGTTGCACCAGAACTACAGTCTCTTGCTCGTCAAGCTCTATAACGGCGCTGAACAAACCATTTGTACTTTTGAGCAGACCAATCGATATTCTCGGACATTGAGCTCACAGCAGAACTAGAGTACGACGAAGGAAAGGCAAAAGCCACGTTGTCTTTTGCTGACCAACAATGTGGCCAGACGGCTAGCTCAAGCTACAGAAGCCGCTCAAAAGGTCCTCCCGGAGGTCTTGGCTGCGAGTTCCCAGGAGCTGCTCGCGACACGCATCCAACGGCAAGTCAAAACTACACCGAAGACGTTGACACGACAATCGGACGACGACGGAGCTTTCATCTCTTCATGTGTTTGACGTTGTCGCTTCGCGTGATTGACTTTGTACAAAGTCGCAGATGGCATCTATTGCTAGTCGATAGCATCGATGCGCGGGCGATCGTCGTGCGAGACAGGTGCTGCGTGCTTTCCGCAGCTGTTGATAGGCTACAGTGCGTACAAAACTGTCCAGTAGACTACGCCTGACCTCACGACGCTGACGCCCGCCGCCCTGACTAGTTCAGAACGTTTTTTCTTCTGGTCTCATCGGGATGAGATCGTTCAGTTTAGTAACGACGACGCACTCGATCCGCAAGCCGAATACGTGCCAGTTAAGTGTAATACAAGCAGGCTGAGTTCGTAAAATCTGGTCAGGCCTTTGTGCATCGGAACATCGACGCGTGAGCACGTGTTTGAGTTGAATCGAGCTTAAATGACTGTGTCAAAACATTCGTTTAGGCACGTGTGAGTGGTTGTGTAGATGGAGAGGAATAATCGATACGTCCCTCGTTCGCTATGTCTTTTGCCACTTCAAGCCTCAAGCCCACAAAATTCTATCGACGCAGCATATGTGATCCCCATTTCGTGCATAAGTGATCGCCCCATCGCGCATAACTAATCGCCTGTTTGCCGTGGCGCTACATCGGCAACCAGAACTTCTTTACCTTTAGCAAAGGTCCATAGGGTTTAGCCTCCAACAACTTATGTCTTCCTCTGTAACTTACGCTGGAAACTACACGAAAGTGGAGCAGATGTTGCAGAAAATTCAATTTGACCAGACCCACTCGGCTGGATGGTTCGTTGCCGTGAGATTGTTATGTTCACGCCAGTCATTCGTGTGATGGGCCAGCAAAACGGCCACTAGAGAAGCAAACCTGCAAACAGCTCTCACCGTAGAGTCGTTGTTCCGACCCTCTAGCCACGCCGCTTCATTCATTCTGCAATTTGCCCACCAACGCACGACACTGGGCAGGCATGAAGATTTGTGTCGCCTTGTACGGCGCTCTGCTCGCTGCAACTGCGGTCCTCGCTCAGGGAGAGCCGTGGAAGAAGAAGTCGATAAGCCTTGAGCTCGTGGAGCCGTTTCCTGAGCAGAAAGCCACGACAATCGGCGACAAGGCGGGCGTCAAGTTCAAACCTCAGATCCACGTTTCCAAGGGATGCTCTTCGTATCCCGCTGTGAATGCGGCGGGTGAGACGACCGACGGCATGATACTCGACAAACCCGTTGATGGCAAGTGCAAGGAACCGAAACAGGGGTCTCAAGCCTATGGGCGCGGGACTTGGCATCTGAAAAAATTTGCCATTATGTTCGCATGGCACTTCCCGACGTACGTCAGTCTTGATGTTCGCTACGACTGGGAGCACGTCATCTTGTGGCTCAACAACCCTGCAATAGCAAACCCGACGATTGAGGCGGTGTCGGTGTGGCATGAACGCAAACGTGAATACGTCAAAACGGCTACGCCTGATTCGAAGTACATGGACGGGTCGAGCCTCAAACTTGACTTGGGGGAGACTTATTCTACGCGCAACCTCAGCTTGTCAACTTTGCCTGGTCAGTTTCAGCCACTGATCATGTGGGACCAGATGCCGGACATTACCCGTCGCGCTCTTAACGAGACCAAGTGGTACGTAAACCTTATGCCTCTGAGCGACCCGCGCTTCACGACCGCCTTGGACAACGCCTGGCCGTATACTCCAGTGTGACCACCACCTTCTACTGACGGCGAAGGCTGAGCATACACGTCTTTATCAAGAATTCGTGTTTTTCGCTACGACCGTCTAGGTGTATTTGCTCACAAGGTAGACAGAGTGACCCATCATTTCATGAATGTTGTACTCTTCAATACACTGACCGGTATGTGTGCACACGTCGTTGATCTTACTATGTTTGTGACACTTTCAAGTTGTGGTCAATGGCTATTGGGAACCAACCTGCACGTATGTTGGCGACACGCTATACTGCAAGATATTGAGCAAGCTTGTCGTGCTGCTTAAGCACGAAGCATGTTTGCATAGAGACGATGATTCTGCTGACTCTAGATACAAATGCATGCTGGGGCGGCTGCACGCACTTGCCAGACAACCGGCCAGCTTTAATCGATGGCATTGTGCTTGCTCTCCTCTCGAAATGCACAATTCGACATTTTGCCAGATGCCACGTAGTGGAAAGACGTAAGATCTTTGCTGCTACTACTTTGTGTTCGTGCGATCTTAAGAAGAGATGTTATCGGTACTGCAAAGCTTAATGCGATTGTTTTAAAAACTTTGTAGGGTGTGCTGGTGCAAGCAAAGGCTCGACTGCACCAAAAGCTCGACAGCAATTGACTATTTCAGACCACGCGCTTCGGCAGCCTAAGAAAACAACTCTTATGCTCATTTACTATCATTTCATTTGCGATGATAATGTCGCATCCTTTGTCGTAAGTTGTTAAAAATCTGCACTGTAAAAGCCTTTGGATCATAGCGTCATTTTTACTCGATATTACTTATGGTGTGACCTGATGATATTGATGGCTCCGTTTAGCTTTCCTTATGCTTGGCATGCATAATGAAAAGTGTGGTCTACGTTTTACGTTTTGATAAGAAGTCAGATACATCGAATACAAGCATAATCAATAACAAACCTGGACGAAATGCTCAGCCTGAAGCTGCAAGGCACCTCGTGGTGGGGTAACTCTATCCAACTGATAGAAGTAACTGTTATTTAATGGTACGATGAATATATGCCCGTAGAAGCGAGAAGTACATGCGCTATTGCCGTGAGTCGCTTCAATCGCAGTTGCAGAAAAGCATGGGGTGTAATGAAGTGTTCGAAAGACTTGCATTTGCCAAGAGTCCTGCACTAACGAAGTATTTCAGTCTCACAAACGTATTGTCACTACCACAGTAAAATTCGTTCTCGCTGCGCTTCCTGAATGAGCCTTTATACGCAGGCGTACCAATAACACTTTTCTAAGCCGCCTGGTTCTCTCTGCAACGCTGATAACGGTTGCGGCCAGGTTTGCCGCATCACGCGAGTTCCCATGGCAAGAAAAGTCTCGCTGCGACAATATTGTGGTCGAGGGCGCGCTACCAAGGCGCTTCGCGTTAAATTTGTTAGGCCGTTGGGTATCGGACGGTTCTATGTCGCATCACAAAGCTGGTAAGTGGCAGTCTTACTCCCATGTATCATGTTGACTTCTCAATCTAAAGTCGGCATGCATTTTCCTTGAGTATTGCCTAAATTAGCTCCAGTTCAATTTGCAATACTTGTTGGCAATCATCATAACGTCTACGCTCTTCGACCGTCACGGAATAAACATGAGATCGGGCGTCTTTGACTTTTACACCGCCGACAAATTGTGCAAAGTTATGATCGATATCTTGAGAGCAATAAACTCGTAAATATCGAACCTGCCGTTTTCTATCAACGACTGCACTGACACACTGTGAGGGGCCTCCTGTGTTACGTAAAAGCTCGAGACTTTTGCAGCAGCATTTACTCGCCCATGGTTCGGTAACACGTTTCCCGTTGCACGAAAAGGGTTAACAATGTGAATAAAAGGGCAATCGACGAAAAAAACGCGTTTCTGGCTAATTTTGGCTCTTGAAGCTGTCACGGCGTCGTCGTGTTAGCATCTAGGTTATTTTTGCATATGTTTTACCCCGTCAACACTCCATCAAGACTACCCATAGCGAGCATGCATAGTATACCGGATTGACGCATAAAATTGTGGCAACGTTCGACCATCAAGAGCCCCCAATAGTTTCAACCAGCGCAATAACCTCATCATTCAAGTGAGAGGCGGTTCTTCGTAGTCACATGATTCGGTATACTTTGGCTTTACGTAGCTCAAGCTCTGGAGGTAATCAGTCATAAAAATGGATACTAATTATAAGTGGTTCAAAGACCCTAAAACGCTTCACAATTGGTGTCGGACGGCGCTTTACCGGGAAACCATTTCATCATGTTGCTTGTCTGTACTTGTCGTGAAACAGTGGCAAACGTCCAATGTCACATTGAGACGATCGGATCGCATACGAATAATGCCCCACCGGTCGCAAGAACCTTACTGTTTGCGGAGGGGTGCGTGAACGGTAATGCTTATTTTTTAAGTACGTAAATTACGAAGCACTGGGAACGTAATTGTAGGGTTTGACTCGTGGCATCTCCCACGTAGATATACGTATTCACAAACATGATGAAGTGCATAATATGGACTAGATGATCACGCGGAACGCAATACAAGATGAGATAGTGAAAAATAACCAGGTAATGAACTGTTAACGAAGCGGTATTATGCATACTACACGACCAAATGCATTACTCATCTACGATCTGTCATACATATCGGCGTGTATATGTTTCATTCAATCCCTCATGTAGTGATCATACGAACATCACTTCACCGTCGTCAATCATATTTGCACACAGGGAACGTTGCACCGACACTTCAAGCGTAACCGTACAGTGTTGTTTGTCGCTTGATTGTTAACCCACGTTGCTTCTGACACTTATCCCACCATCTGTGAGGTGATATTGCGTTCATGCTTAGCTGTCATTTCGTCTGACCCGTTTTCTTACATGAAATGAGACAGCGTCGGGTCAAATTGGCGCATGCACGGTGCTTTGTACAATTGTATCGAAGGTGATATTTCTGACAGGTAATGAAGGTAGGATGATTCAAGAGCAAAATATGTAACACCTTCGTTCCGGGATCACCCTATTGGGTGATAGAAGACAAGTTGACAGATGGAAAGAGGGATTATATTAGTCATTTCGGGTTGAATAGATGTCTTGAAGTTTATGACAAGGAGATACGGACACCAAATGGGACAGCGTGTGACAGGTGGGCTGAACGTAATCATGTTCAGCTTGACTTGGTCAACTTGGTGGGAATACTATACGTTTTGTTGGATTGCCAAATGATGCTAATAATATACATATATACCCTTTGCATCTTCATTTTTGCGTACAAGCGCCTATTCGCTTTATTTTCTACATGTTCTACAATATTAGCCGAGGCAGCATGGTATGTCGTACAGACGAGTATAATAAGCCAAAATAGGATTGTGAAAAAAGGACGCGTTTTATAAGCTCTGGCAGGTGAACTCTGGGATGGTTAATTACAAATAATGTAGAATAAACGCGAAAGAAATGCGCAATATTCATATAATTATCGTGGGTGCTTTGCCCAAGTAGCTGATAGTATTGATAGTCGGGCGGGGTTAGTATGGATATTGCCGAATGGATACTAAAAATATATGAGCGAAATAGTTGTGTACAGAGAAAAGAATTATGAGATGCATCATTTGGCTACGCATATTCATTTAAGTTGTTTTACGGCGAGGACATTAAGCTGTCCGCATCCTTAAGTTTTCGAGCATTCTGTGGCAAAGGTGCTGGTGTGTCGACAACTTTCGTGCGGCAAACCATTGAGGTTAAAGAGATAAATTATCACTGATCCGGTACCTCCAAATTGCAGAAAAATATTTGTCGTCGTCACCTCTGCTAGAACACTTTTACCATATTATCAACAATTCCAATATCCACCCATGTAATCGTAACAACTGAAGATTTTTTTGAATGGAATATATTAGCAAGGCTTTTTTAAACTCATTGATTGATTTTACAACTCAAACTTTGTTATTTTGTGTAGCGTGTAAGCTGCTTTTGTCCCTTTTTATTGATGTTGCATCTCTTGCGGAACAATGTAATCATTATATTTAAAGATCGAAATAAATTGAGGTAGCTCATACAATTATCGTAAAAGCAGGTTATTAAAGCTCTTAATCCCTGTCGACCTTGAATTGTTACATCAAAATTCAAACATAATTTGCGTTCTAAGCAAAAAGATTTATCTTCTTGTATACGTACCCTTACGCAATTTCACTAATATTTGCGGTGAATATCCCTCGTTTGTAGGATTGTTGACGCTGACGTTTGTTTCATGTTCTCGTAATGTAAAAATTCAGCTGACTACGTCATGATACCTGATCACATAACCTAGAGAAACCTTCAGCTGCTTAAGTTCCCTTGACTAAAGATCTTTGAACCTTTGATACATACTAACATAAGGTGCATGATATATGACATGCTATGGACACGTTACGATTTATTATTAGTAGGATAGCCGCAAATCATTCGTCGAGTCAACGCTACTTCGTTTTGGTGATTTATATTCTCGGCAATGCCTCGCGTATCTTAACCGTCAGAATTCAAAATTCATAACGTTATGGATTGTTGTGTGTATGGCCTAAACAATCGGAAACTTACTCTTCTCATCTGTCGTAAAAAATTTCAAATTTCCTTGTCCATACCTTTTTTATAGACAAGATCAATATAAAAATGTCATGAATTCATTACAATTGACGTCAAATTTGGCTTCAATCGTGGCGTATATAATCTTGGTTCCAAATGACGAGTCCAGAGTTGTCATTCCAGCAATATTAATATCCTAAATATCTCATAATGAGTGTAAATTTATGTAACTTTGATGACAGGCAATTGTTGACCACAAAATTATTTTCCTTGATAATGTTATTTACAGTCAAGATTTCGACTTTCATAAAACGACCGAAGTGTTTGTTAGTGAAGTTGCAGCGATGCGTGAGTAATGCATATGCCATATTAAAGGTTGTTGTAGGCTTACAGAATAGCTTTACTGTTGTTGCTGACTAGTGGAATCATCAAAAAATTATAATGACGTAGTCGTAGGGGGACA